TTTTCTGACCAATTTTCGACTGTTTGATTGTCGCTGTATATATAATATACAAATTTCGATTTGTAAAGAGCATCATCTCTTCAAAAAGGTGATCTAGTTTACGCATTTTCAATATTTCTATAAACTGTAGCGAGCCACCTTAAACGACGCGCTCACTTCTCCCACCCGCACTAAACGCCTGCTACGCAAGCTACCATCTCCATTCCATATCAAACAAAGGTTTTAACCACGGACAGAAATTCAAGACATGCGCCCGCTATACATTTCAGAGGCTTTTCGCAAAAAAGTGATTCACACATGGCTTAGTACTTATATAAAATTTATAGAAAGATTTAAACTTTCCGTCCGTATATGCACGTATGAAAAACGCATAACTGGAATGCAGCCTTAATGCTGTACTTTATTATACGCAGATATGCCATGTAGCTAATTAGTCTACCATGGAATCGTATAGGTAAATATGTATAGGTAATCATGCGATGTTGCTCGTACAATTAGGGATTAATAGTACTCGTGATGTTTTGGAAATTTGCCAAATTGGACTCGCCCCCCGATTCCTTTTTTATTATTAGCATGACAAAATTGGATACTTATCAATGTCAACATCATATTTTCTCGCCAAAGCCCAGTCCTGCCAGACTTTCAACCAAAATTTGTTGCTTTTGTTCGTATTTTCATTTAGTTCTTTTGTTCAAGCAAAATTTGGTGCTTTTGTTCGTATTTTCATCCAGTTCCTCTAAGGCAATTTCATTTCAATTCGTATAAATTAAAATACCTTTCCGCCATTTTGTTTTGTTTTGGGAAAATCATTAATTGTACTGCAGTACAATTAATGAAATAATTCTACTCCTCTCAACCAATCAGCATCCAGTAATTTTGTCATGCTAATGATAAACTATGTTAAATTGAAACAAATTGTTCAGATTTAGTAAATGTCGAATCGAACTTAGCAAATGATATATATCTCTTACTAAATTCGGTCATATTTTAAAAAACTGCGTCACTCCTTATGATTGTATCCGCCTTATTGTTTATTTGTCAAAGTTTTGGCATGCTCAGAATCCAAGTCTTAAATTTCTGTCTATGCGCTGTCAAATGATTTCATGACAAAAAAACAAGGCACTAGGCTTTTGTTTAAAATGTTTGCCTAATTTTCATTATTCAAATATAGAGAATACTAACGCAATAAAGCATATGCAAAGCCTTGTAATGTAGTTCTTATTTTTTCGTAGGCTGAAAACTACGCTTAAATTGATATTGGGCTAAATTTACACTAGAGTAAAGGTCAATCTTACTGGGCTTACCATTACTATTTTATTATCTACCCTATTCCTAGATATCACAGGAAAATGTTTAAGAAAAAGAAATACGAATACAGACTTACAGTAAATAAAAAATGATTTAACAAAGAATGTCAATTAGAAAATTAGCCAAGCAAAAAATTCAGATCCTTCATTAAAAATTCAATATCATTATAAATTGATAGACTATAAGGAGACTAAGGACACTTTAAAATCTAAAAAAGGGAAATTCCACAGACAAAAGCTGGCTTAACTGTAATAATTATCAAGGAATATGTACCTGAAGCTGTCCGGGAAATTTTTCTGTATCATACTCATTGCCAAATTACTTACATTCATTAATTCTCTACCCCACAGATTGGTTTCCTACCTAATCGTAGAACAGCTGTTCATATATTAACTTTTAAATCACTGATTGATAAATATGTTCACAAAAACACTAACAATGTTATGTAGACAACAACAAAAACGTTGTCGACTTCAAGAAACTATTAAAACTTCTTAGAAATAAAATCAGAGGCAATTTCTATGATTTAAATAAAAACCCGGCTTTCAAAATGCCCCGTCCAACAATCGCATACCGCTATTCCAAAGGAGTAGGACAAGGATGCATTTCAGCTATCCTCTACTTAGTATAAATCTTTATTTACTATTAAAAAATTCGTTAATAATTCACAAGGAAAATACAAAAGAAATGAATGTTTATTCAATGTTTGTAAATTGGATAAAGATTTGTCCTGATTTGCATAAACTTCAGCTTCGATTTTCTAGGCTTAGACAATGTTTATTTTTAAACTTACTTTGCCAATGAAGTCATAAGATGGGTCATTTTTTAAATACGATAAAACATTCGGCTGCTAATGTTTTATCTAGTGCATATTCTCTCAGACCCTCTCGTGCTACCTAATATGCGAAATGGAACTTAACTGTGTCTTATATGCTGATGATCTCGTTATACTATCAAGATCAAAAGGAGGTGCAATCAATGGTTATTGGAGGTAACGCCCCCCCCCCCCGAATACAGTTACACGTTATCACACCGTAAAAAAACTTGTCACAGAGAAGGTTCATCACCCCGTTCCTTATAAGTTGTCATAAATTACAAATTGAAACTGTATGTATGCTATGTGTATTGTGATTCAAACGAAATGGAAAACGAAATATCATTTTTCGTTATCCTGCAAGTACTATATGAACAATATAGGAAAACCTAATTGATATATAACCTACAAATTACTATTGCCAGGCCATGCAGTTGCTATTGGTAATCAAGAAGACCAATTAAACGTAATGTGATCCAATAATGATAAATACTTTATCAAAATTTCTAAAACTGTGTCTCTGAAAACGAAATGATTGCCTTGAAATCAGAACTGAATAAAAACAAATTAGCTACATTCCTATTTAGACGTACCAACTCATCCCCTTTCTCCTTTCTACTTCTAAATTTACTGGCTATATAATCGTAGTACTTTATATCTTAATTTGAATTTATATTGTATCCTAGTTTAGGACTTATTTCTATCATTGTAAACATATACCATAGTCGCTTTAGCGATATCTTGTATTTATGCTTTCACGCGTAACGCAAACACTTACTCTAATGTCTTGACGAATTGTTGCTCTGTATGAAATTCCTGAAGGCTAATACAACGTGTCTGTGGACCTGTAAACCCAGCGGCAGAGGCTATGGCCCGAGAATTTGCTTGTGATAACAATCGAGAGTACGTGGTAATCTGCAAAAAAATTATAATTATTAACAATGTTATGACTTTGCGTATTTTGTATGAGAGCGAGCGCGTATATGGAGCGACATTTATGCGGAACATGTCCCGACTGGCTGTGACCCGTCAGTACTTCCATCACTTATAATCATAACCTACACCATGCACTTATCCGTGCAACATTACCGGCGGCAACTTGAACTGCAATTGATAGTTGACAACAATTGAAATAATTGAACTGGTAAATATATAATGAAAGAACAGGTTTAAATTATTTACACCGTGGTATTTCGGCTACTTGATGGGCGGTAAATACAAAAGTAAACAAGACGCCTGCTTAAGCGTTCACACTGGCCTCGCGGTTGGTAAAATGCCATTGCAATATTCTAAAAAATAATTTGAAATATGTAGATGTTCTTCACTTCTTGACGGCCGTGACTTCATGATCACAAACATTCTGAGGACGGCACAATAAAAATCCATACAAACCAATAGAGTTCGGCGATATCTTATCGAAAAACACACAGAAAAGTCCAAGCGCCGGCGCAATGAAATATAATAAAATACGTCCCACAATTACAGCGTCTAAGATTTGTAACGTAGTTAAATACGAAATTCGTTCTGGTTAACACTGTGTAGAATTGGTCCTAACCCCAATCTAATTCTAATCCATATCCTAATCGTCCTGTGAGCATGTTTTAGCTAAATTGCACAATCCTGAGCCCCCGATGCCGCAATGGAAAGTCACACTTGCGACAACAAAAAAAAAACACCGAAAAAGACAGAAATTTCAGTAAGGGCATTCCATGACACTGGCTGCGGCCAGTGCAATAACCTTCTTCGAAACAATAGCCTGCGTGCATTAACACCAAAGTACACATGTCATACCAAAATGAATGAATACAAGATATTCAACATAAGAAAACTAACCTGGACAAGAAAACCATTGTTTTCAGCATCGTCCTTGTTTTGCAAGCAATGAACCACATAATCTTTCAAACTTCCATGTTTCTGATTTCTAAAATATTTTGTCCAAAGCTTCTCTGCATCGTACTTTAGTTTTGTTGCTGGTATTCTAGCAATAGCATCAGGTGATGCACACTGCAACAACGTGTATTTTGATTGCATAATAATCTAGGGCGAAAAACTACCGTTAAATCATTTGTTCAAAAGAACTGATTTCGACGGGCCAGGGAAAGAACAGTTGCGCAACTTACATAAATCAAGCAATTAAACTTATCAGAAATTCAATGCATATACTATTGAAATATTTAGAACTCATTAATTATTCAATAGCCAACCATATTGCTATGCGATATAAATTCCCGTCCAGTTATCATTTTTATGAAATATTACAGAAAGGTTATTTAATTAATTTTCAATATCACATGAAAGAATAGAATACATGATTGTATTATCAAATTTTGGAGAACTGTATATGAACACAAACGTAGGACTATATATGAACACAAATTTTATACCTGCTCATCAGACCAGTCTTTATTAAGGTTGGAAATTTTAATAACTACTGCAGCAGCAGTGTCGCTATGGTAACCAACAAAACAATCACCAGGCTTGAATAAGCTATAATGGCAGAAACAAACGCATATACTGACACAAAATTTAGTTGTATAGTGGACACTTTTGCATTTCCTTAACAGGATATATAAGTGGATGATAGGGTCGTAAATGTTTTTAAAGCTTTTCTCTAACGTAATCGATGTTATAAGAAGCTCATTTAATTATTTGACAGTTCATTTTCTCATGAGCTCTCCCGATATCTATAATCCTTCTTCGGAGAAAGTGCTAAAACCTCGACCTTTATCAAAGGTTCTATATCATAATCTCAATCTTTTTGTTCCTATACAAGTCTGATATGGTTTTCGCAGGTGCAAGTAGAATCCTTGTGGTGTTGAGCTTTGACCTTCTCAACATTCTGAGTGCAACTCTTTTCAAAGTATTGTCGGTCAATAGCTCAATGCAGTAACTGGTTCGAACCTTTTTTATGATACCAAAAGTAAGCTTATGCAATTCGAAAAAAGCTAAACAATTCGAAAAAAAAATTTGAATTTAAAGAAACTACAGTATGTGTTTAATCACTACAACAACTCAAAGACAATAGTTCTACCTCTCGCTAGATGAATGTTCAGGTTTTACTACCGAGAAGAGCTTCACCCAGTTCTCCAGTTCTTTAACCAACTCAGCTTGACGTTCTGTTAAACCAGTCGACATTACAAGTAAATGTTTTTCCAGTCGATTGATAAGAGGAATTGGAAAACGTTGATAAACGACATCCTTTTCAGCAACTACAATCAATCTGTACAAAACAATACAACAAGCATTAACAAGTATTTTTAATTAAGATAGTAAACACATGGTAGCCTCGGTTTCTTTTGTCCCAACAGGGACGTTTAATCACGTATTTCCCTCATTACCCATGCATACGCTTTTGTCTTCTAAATTTCCCCGGGAAAAGGGAATATTTAGTTGAAAGCAAAGGATTTCTTTGTCTTCTAATTGTCCCCTGCATGCTTGATGAGGGATATTTAGAAGACAAAAGCGTACCTCGTTACCTCTGATTGGAGAGCTGTACCTCATCGAAAATCATCGGCACAACTATGGACAGTATCTGACGACACTGTCCCGTACACATTCGAACAATCACTTTGCCAGCTTTTATTCCCTAATCATGAACATTTCAATTGTGGGAGAAAATTCCGTTTATGCGCATGCCTAAAACGAATGAACACGGAGATGTGTTTCTGCGCGTGCGTATATATGAAAAGTGTTCGTACCACAATCATAAGACAATCAAACAGCATTCAAAACAGGCAACATACCACGCGCAATTCCCTCGGCTACCATGTATATACAAAAGTACTAAGGCTATTGGTTCGCTCAGAAGGTATTTTGCTGTCAAAGAACGAAGTTTTCCTGTGTTCCTGTTGATTGTTCCTGTTTGGTGTTTTCGTGTTGGTGATTCCTGGTCGTGCTGCCTGGTCCTGCTGTCTGGCCGTGCTGCCTGGTCCTGCTTGGTCGTGCGGCCTGGTCCGGCTTGGTTGTTTTGGTCTTGTCTGGTTACCTGGCCTGCCGTATCTTGGTAACCTGAAGTTCAGGCCCTAATTTGAAATAGGGCTTGACACAAAACCTATCTAAACCGTGGGACGCCCACATGTCATTTTTAGACACAGTCAAACAATATGATTGACAAGTGTTGTAGTGTTGTAGATTGCACGAAAATAAATACGAAAAATATAAAGATATTCATTTCATGTTGGATTATTTGTTTTTTTATTCTCATGAACATTGAACCGCTGAGTGTGCATTTTGCTTTTTAAACTTAAAAATTCAAGGTACTTTTAAGAGTTCAGTTTCTCTATTTATTAATTTAACCGAACAGCAAACAAAGATTTAGTCAGTTCTGTGCAAGGACTGAATGCAAATAGTTTTGTTCTCTGCGATCTACTTTCCGCAATTGGAATTAAAGTGCGTCAAGAGTAGAGTAGCTAAAGTAATTTGTTTCATCATTTATAAACGAGGGATCTAAACAAACGGCTTGAATACCAAGCTTTCTCAAGGTCTCAACTTGCTGGACGCGGATATACAATTTTTAACAGGATAGCAACAGCAATAACGAAATTCTTTTATATCGTACCATGACGAAGGCGATATAGCTCAGAAAACAACGCCGGTAGGACCTGATAATAAGACTTTCGCCGAAGCCAGTTGGCAGAACGGCAAAGACATCTTGGGCCTTGGCTGTCAACAACAAGCTTTCGAATACATGACTTTTGCTGTTCTTTCAGCGTCGTGTGTCCAAACTTCGTCAAAGATTTTGATAAAGCCCTTTCAAAATACTGTGTGTTTGATTTATTTTCTGCCATAAAGCATATTAAACAAAAGAAATTCGAAGAAATTCGACAATACTATTACGATATTAATCACAATGGAATTTGATCGTTTGACCTTATCACATTGACCGAGCTATTTATAAAATATTGTTTATGAGAACTTGCAACCAATCAAAATCTTTCATGACGCTGATCAACCAATCAGATTTCCCGTCCACCAGATGGACGGGAATCCCTCGGTTTAGATAGGTTTTGTGTCAGGCCCTATTCTAAATTAGGGCCTGAATTTCAGGTTAGTATCTTGGTGGTTCCTTTTTCCAAGATTCAACAACGTCCGGCGGCAAATAGTCGCTGGGCGGGGTAACATTGTTTATTTTTCTTTTAAGTGTGTTATTTAGGGAGTTTTGTGTGGTTTCTGGCTGTTCCCGTTTGAGGGGCCTATTAGGGGGATACTCTAAGGAAGGGGTCTGTTCCTTTCTTTTTCGTGTTTATTTTGTGTTTGGGGGACGGTGCTTGACCGCCCTTAATAGCCAGGTTCCTCGATTGTGAGTTTCCTTGGGGTAATATTTTGTGTATAATTTATTGTGTGGGGCTACCCTCATATTTGATAGAATTTCGTGCTTTGTGTTAAAGTTGTTATAAGCATGAAGATTCCTTTTTCAAATCGAACGGTGGATGTAGAGCTTCCTAATACTCAAGGGCAGGCCAAGGTAACTGTCAAAAACATAATGGAAGACTTCCATCGCCCAACGGGAGATAATTTTCCCAAGTTATTCGAGGCTTTTGTCTTATTATCGCCTCGCAAAGTTGGTATTACTTGTCGCACCGCATTGAATATGGAAGAAGTGTGTCACCTCGGGCTTACGTTTCGAGATGTTCGTCTAACGTTCAACCCGGTCAGGACGGCAAAATGGGTAAACATTACGCGCCTGAGTTATGGGATTCCCAATGAAGCGATTGCTGATGCTTTGAAGCCATAGGGCAAAGTCATTCAGGTTAAAATGGACTCCTTTCATGGAGTTTATGTTGGGGTCCGTCAGGTCTTAATGGAACTGTCTAAACCCATTCCTTCGCGGTTGACTATTGCAGCTCATTCCTGTAACTGTAATTGTAAATGTTGGTCAGGTTCAAACGTGCTTTTCGTGCCACCAGACAGGTCATATGACTAAAGATTGCCCTAATCACGCGCGTTCTACAGGCAATATCATCAATGCAGATGGTCCATTGACGGGAGTAAATCGACCGTCGACCAGTACAGTACCTGAAGAACGCATTGGTGCC